AATGGAAAATTTACTGAAAACAAATGGGACTAAGGTGATTTTAAGTGACAGCTACTTATGATACAGGTTTGCAGAGGTTACTTTGAAAACAAAGCTTAGTCTGCTACTTGATTTATGTTATGGAGTATTTCCACTCCTGATTTTGCCTAGTGTCATGGGCACAGCTTATTTGGAATGCTGCTGTGGGCTAAACAGAACTATCTCATGCAAATGTGTCTTTAATCATTCTCACCTGGCAATGTCCATCACAAGGCTCTCTTCCTTTTTCATGGCACTCTCAGTGATGTTAACCAGTCTGTGCATGATCCATCGCCGTAACCGAGCAACCTTGTGCTGTGCTCTTTCAACAAGAAGTGGACACAATCACCAGTTTGAACACCAACCCAGAATAAATACAAATCACTGCAGCAAGAGGTGACTTTCAGATTTTTAGAGGTTTTACCCTAAAGATGGCAAAGTCATGGAGTTAGAAAGCAACAGGAGGAGACATAATCTTCCCAAGTTTGCTTTCTACTATGTAAAGACAGTCCATTTACCCCACTGAGGGACTGCAGGTGAGCAAAAAGCTCTTCAAGAACTGCAGCAGTCAGTAGAGTGAGGTTAGAGGTGCACAGGTAACCACTGTTTTAACAGCTGACACCTTTGGAAGTGGCACCTGCAAGTAACCCAGTACCCACAGCCCCAAGTTGTGGGTATTCAGCAAGCAGCAGTCAGCAAGCAGCAAGCCAAGGAGGATGAAGCCTTCTCTTGGGAAGTTTTCCTAGCTGGAAATTGCAATAAACGCCTATCAAGGATATTAATATTTACAGGCTACTCTGGAACCAAGTGCTTTGCTGTGGACCAAGGAGACCAGAGCCCTCAGGGCAGTTTAATACTCAGATGAAAGGGATGCACAATTCCTACAAAGACCTGAGAGGCTTTAGTGAAAGGAAAAGCCACTGGACATTTTGCCAAAGTAGCTGTCAGGGCTAGATAAAGAAGAAAAAAGGCTCTTTCAGTGATCCATTCTGCTTTTGTCAGGCTGGCTGGTTCTCACCCTGTTTACTGCTATTTGCAGAACTGAATTTCGTCGCAGCAAAAGAGTCAAATGCTGGGGCTAAACTTTCTGAGACAGAGGAAATAAACAACAATAAACTATTGGCAAAGCAACCAGCAAACGTTGGCTGTCCAAGCCAGATTTAATTCAGGCACTGTAACCTCAGAACAGAGAGAGGAAGGTGCATCACCCTCATACTCACATGTCTCCGTTCTCCTGGTTCTGTTTTTGTCGGTTGCTTGAGAAGTCCAAACAAGAGTCCAAGTCTGGCCTGAGGAACATGTCTTTGAGCCAGTTGACATAGTTTTGCAATGCCACTGCCTGCATGTGTCTGACTGCCCTGGAGGCACTCAACAACACCGGCTTGCCTTGGTTGGTAAGAGTAGAGAAGCCCATTATCACAGCCAGCTGCCTCTCAGGGTCATCACAGTCACTCAGGAATTTATCTATGTATCCTTCCATCTCCGTAGCAACCTTAAAATCCTGTGGAAACCAAAAAACATGGTCAAACAAGGTTAGGAACTTTACACTCAGTCTGAGTGGTTCTGTAAGTACAAATCATAGAATGGCCTGGGTTGGAAGGGACCTCAAAGCTCATTCTGTTCCCTCCCTGCCATGGGCAGGGACACCTTCCACCAGCCCAGGTTGCTCCAACCCCATCCAACCCAGTCTGGAACACTCCCAGTGTAAATCACTTGAATGAATTTGCCTGCTCGAAGTAAATTCAAGTCATGTGCCTGTACTTTTGTCCTAAGGCTTACAGTAGGTCACCAATTTCACCTCGTAATCTTCCTCACATAGAAGCAACCACTGTAAGCAACCACAGAATCCTGTCATACACCAACTTCAATTTGCACCTCCCAAAACAGGGAGGCTTCAGCAGGCTGGACCACGTGCTGGCCAGGGCAGCTGAGCTCCTAGGCTGATCAGCTCTTATTCTGGGTTAAAGTCTGCGATGTTTCTCATACCATCTGCCTTAGACTTTACCTACATTTGGAAATTCCCCACCATCAATTCTGGTCTCATCTAGCAGCCCTGGAGACTGCTGACCTGCAGAGGGTAGAACAAATGCCACCTCCTCCACTCGATGTGTCAGAAGTGTTGAGGCACTCTGAAAGAAGAGGAGTTGACATGTTTAACCTAAAAACCGTATCCTGAGGAATGGTTGTTTTGTGCTAAGTCCTATCTTCAGGCCTGCCAGTGACCCACAAGGCATGGAGCTGGAAGGCCCTGCACACTGTCCAGCAGCATACAGAACACCAGGACATGTCCCATCTCACCACACATCCCATTTCCTTAAGGTCTTTCATAGCCCACAGTGTTCAATCCCACTCATTTGTTCTGGAAAAAACCTCCAAATGCATAACTTGAGAAACCTTGAAGAGGTGGTTTCATTCCAAAACTGCAACATATCTTTTGTAAAGTAATAAAACAACTTGTTCAGTCATGTCACCTTCATACAGTGACCTGGTGGGAGCAGAAGCAGTAATGAAAGTCTAAGGAACACTGCTCTTTATTTAAATAAAGGGGTTGTAAATCTGTAATTAACTCCAAATCCATTCAATTATCACATAAATACCCTGGCAAGAAATCTCAGAGAGAACACAACTTAGCAGGCTCCTGCTTCCACTGTTGGAGAACTCAATACTTGTGCATCAGTATGAAAACTGGGAGAAAAGCCCCAGGAGAAGCTGCTGTAAACAGGCTAATAGCTCACATCAGGGGGTTCATCAATCACCTCTCAACAAAATCAAGTCTATTTGCTCCCCTGTTGATAAAAAAGTGTAATCAGGAGGATAACTGTCAGTAAGTATCAGACTCCAGCTTTGTCTAGCTCCAGCTCCAACAACCAGCAGAATCCCATAAGGAAGTACAAGGTAACAAACAGTATTTGCTTTCCAAAACAAACAACTCATGTCAAGGAACAAAACAGAATAAACTCACAAAACCAAGAATAAATTCAACTTAGATGTTTTTTACTTTCTCATCTCAACAATATTAGGGGTTTCTCCTACCATTTAGTCAATGATTGTCTTCAGGGGATTTGTGCATTTCAGACAGGAATTGAATTAACACATCTTTTGATGCCCATGGAAGAACACAGCCTAAATCACTGAGCAACAAGCACAAAAAGCAAGCAACAGGAAACCAACTGAGTCAATGGATAAACCCTGGAGAAAGCTGGGCCATGCAGGGAGGCACCGTGGTAAGCAGCATTTGCAGAGCAAACCCACACATCTACTGCTCCTTTGATACCAGAACAGAAAGATCACAGTCCTAGTTCTCTCAAGCAACAGCAATGATTTTTGGGCTCACATCAGGAGGCTTGGGATTATGTTACCACAAAAAGCCAATCTAAACCCCATTTTATCAGTATTCCCCTTTTGTTCTTCCTCCCTTTATTGCAGGGCTGTATGATTTGCTGACTTCCCAGGAGGGAAGGAGGAAGAGGAGTTCCAAAATCCAATTCCAAATAAATGTTGTGCTTAAACCTCAGATGTGCTTATGGAAACAAGCAATAACAAACAAACCCATGAGTTGTGCCTTTTTGTCTTTGCCTTCAAATGTCCACGCAACACCCAGCACAATGCCAGACAAAAAAGGAGCTTCTGGACATGCAGAGTCAAAGGGACTGTTACAGGATGACATATGACTGTCACTATGCTGAGGGCTGCCCTCCCTCTGCTTCCCACACCCATAGAGCTTTCTCAGCAACAGCAGTGAAAGCAGGTGGGGCAGTGCTGAACAGTTTCAAACCCTTAAAACAGGCAATGCCAATTAAACACAGTTTACAGTCAGCTCACTGCATCCAGTGATCACACAATAACTTTGCTTTTAGTAAGAGTTCAAGGTCTAAAATTACATAAACCTACAAGACGATGTGAAACTAGAGGAGGGCAAACATTTCTGCTCATGACAGTCTTCAGCCCTGAGCATGAACACCTCCAAGAAGACTTACCTGAGTGGCTGTCACACGTTCTCCATAGTGCAGCATCACCTTCCCCTTGAGAACCACCTGCAGCTGCTCCAGAGACAGCAAGGGCAGAGCACTGCCCAGCAACCGGTAGCACATGTTACTGAGTGGGAACAAAGAAGATTCCCTCAGGCTGAGGCACAGCAGTAAATCCATACACAGGTAAGACAGAGGAGATGGTGGGACAGGCTCCATGGAGCATGCAGGGAGACAGGAGTTAAAAGTTCTGGGTCAAGAAACACAAGGATAATATGGGAAATAAAGAGCACATGCTACAACAAACCTCACAGGTCCTGATTTCTCCTTCAACAGCCCATTCTCCACAACTTCATTCCAGAACAGTTCAAAGGCACCTTCCTTCAGTGCAACTTGTAGCAAATCAAACACTACACTGGGCAATTTCTTGTCTTCCTTCTCAGATTTGGCAGCACTTTTCAGAAGTTCTACAAGCCTAGGGCAATTTCTTGTCTTCCTTCTCAGATCTGGCAGCACTTCTCAGAAGTTCTACAAGTCTGGAAGAAGAAAGACAATGTGAGAGATCTGACCTGGAAGGGGATTGCTGAAGGCCAAATTCAACCTGCTGAAGGACACAGAACATTTCTTGAGCACTGCAGGCTGTGCCTCCTGGGAGAAATGACACAGCTATAATTTAGGGACCTGCAGAACAGTTAACACCTAACCCTTAGCAACACCTGTAGTGACAAATACAGGCAAGTTCAGAATCTAAGCCATCAGAACAGTTAACACCTAACCCTTAGCAGCACCTGCAGTGACAGATACAGGCAAGTTCAGAATCTAAGCCACATTTCTCTCACTGAGGAGAAGAATATTGCATTTAATGCTCCTTATTTAAGAGTTTACCTGGGAATATTTTCCTCATTTACAACAGTAGGTGAGCCAAACAGCTTCTTCAGCTTTTTAGGTTTCAGAACACTGGGGAATTTCTGCATGCCCACAAGCAAAAGGTGCAGGTTCTCTGGTGAGGTGAAGGCTGAAGAGAGGTCACCTTGCAGGATGTCAAGCAGGACCTCCTCAAACACATTTTCAGGAACCTAAACAACAATGAGAATAAAAGCATCTGAGAACATGTGAGGGCATTTCACTAACTTGCAGTGCAGTATATTAAAGTATCTGCATTGGAGGGCATTTTACTAAGAGCTTTCAGTGTTCTGGAAATTTTAGAAATAGTCTTTATGGTGACACAACCAAAAATAACTTAATGGATGTGACCAGTACTGCCAGACAGTCCCAGGTGCTTAACCATGTGGAGTAGGACACTATGTTGTCATCAGACAGCAATTCTGGTCAACTGACTCCAGCTGCAATTGTTCTCCTGCTGTCTGGCTGCTGCTGTCTGCTCAGCCACGCAGCCCAGGGAGGAGGAAACTCTCCTGCATTAGCTGTTAATTGTATTTCCCCAAAATAAGTTAATTGTTTCAATAAGATTTGCTGGCAAACAACTGTGTTCAATTGTTTTGGAGAAAACTAGATCTAAGGTTATCATCGACAAAAAAGAAATGCACAAAACCTGCTTTATTTCATATTTTTTAAAGATCAAAATACATTTAAATTTAACATCAAGGCTAAATGACCCAGAACATTTCCATACAAAATGCTAATTTTGACTTAACACTGCTAGTCTTCATACGTACAAACATCCATATAAAAGAAGGAAACAAAGTCTCTTCTTTTACTAGATGCTCAGAGTTCCTTTACTTTTTATCACTACATCATTTCACTTCCAAAATTCAACCTTAGGCTCAGACTTGGTGCATAAAAAAGGTTTGCTCTCCAGAGTTTTCAGCACACTTCCACTCAAAAGAGTAGAGGGTCTAACATATCATCCAACTAAGTCAACTGGGAAAAAACAGACTATGGCTCTATCCATGATGAAATCAGACTAAGCTAAACCAGAGCATCCTTCCCAGAATAAAAGCACCTGCCCACAGGCAATACAGCAAACAGCTCCCAATTGAAACTCATTGTTCACACCCCCTTGAATTTTCTAAGGGAGAAACAGCCCCCAGAGTGAAGCCCTTGCTCCTCCCACCCATCATGTGCTGTGCCTGTACCTCAGAGGTGATGTCAATAAGAGTTTTGCGTGGCAGGTCTCTGAGGTGTGCCTGGTAGTTTGTCAGCTGCTGGAGAAGCTGGATGCTCTCCAGCAGAGCTTTCCGGTCCTACAAAGGAAAGATAAGCCAAAAACAGAGGACATATATCAGAGATTAAGCTGAAGGCTCAGGTAACTGTCCACTCTTGAGATGCCTATGCCTACTTGCAATAAGAAACCTACACAATTGCTTCCTGACTGGCCACTCAGCTTTTCCCAAACTTGTGCTTACTGGGTGTGTATGACAACAGAACCCTTTCTTGAAGGAGAGGTAGGAACCTCCTGTACTATTTCAGAGTTCCTACATTCTAGTCGGGAACAGACACAACGCACAAAAAGTTCATGGATAATACAACAGAAATGAACTGAACTCAATGCTTCAAATCCCATCACATCAACTGACTCAGCCTTTCCCTCTCAATCCTCTTCCCACCCCAGAAGCACCAGAACTGACACACCTTAACAGCAGTGTTACCTTCACAAGCCTCCCAGACTGGAACAGAGCCATGACTCCGAAGAAGTTTCCAAAAGCAGCACTTCTTACAAGTTTCTGAAAAAGAAAAGGGGTTAAAATCCACTTTTCCTGAGGGTTTAGATTTCACTTCCAGCTACAGCTCTGCCATGAGGAGAGAACATACTGAAAAACAACCCCTGCATGATGTTTAAGAACTGTCCTAGATTATCTTTTCTCACACAGTCAAATTTCACCTAAAACAGAGCCAGATGACACTGACATCAACTTCCAGTTCTCACAGTTATTCCTGTTATTTCCTTACAGTTATTTGCTTTAGCAAGAACCTCCAAACTATAATACAAACCCAGACTTCAAAGAAGAGAGAACAACTAATTTAAAGTAGCAGTTGGCCAATGCTGCCATGAGCTGACTCACCTTTTTCACTTTTTCCAGATTGTGTTTTTCTTTTATCTGTTCCAGGACACTGCACAACGGAATTTCCTCAAAAGCCTGTAAAACCTGAGGAGATGGATGGAATAGTTCAGTTTGCAGTTCTTCCAATTTTATGAGGTTCAGTTAGAATAGAGCTAACAGTTGCTCAGCACAGCAGCACATGTGCTGCCTTATCAGGCCAGAATAGAGACAACCAGACCAGTGAAAGATGTGTCAGAATAGGAACCAGGCCGGGAGAGCTTGGGGTGTTCAGCCTGGAGAAGAGAAGGCTCCAGGGAGACCTCAGAGCCCCTTCCAGTGCCTAAGGGGCTCCAGAAGAGCTGGAGAGAGACCCAGGAAAAGAGCCAGGAGGGACAGGAGACAGGGAATAACTTACCACTGTCAGGGGGCAGGGATAGATGGGATATTGAGAAGGAATTCTTCCCCATGAGGGTGCTGAGGCACTGGCACAGGTTGCCCAGAAAAGCTGTGGCTGCTCCATCCCTGGGAGTGTTCCAGGCCAGGTTGGATGAGGCCTTCCTACGGCATGGGGTGGAATGGGAGGATTTTTAAGGTACCTTCCAGCCCAAACCATTCTGTGGTTCTATGCAGACACAAATATACCTGATGATATTCCTTTATTTTTCCCTGTACACGACATAGCAGATGAACAATGAACATTTTACTGCAACTGCCTAACCCTGTAACAGAAGCAATGGGTAAGGCCCTGATCAAGGTGGGAAGAGCAGAAACTCTTCTGCCTTATCAGCCTCTTTGGTGAGCTGAGGTCAGATCTCACTGGTGACTCCAACTGCTGCTACTCTGCTATGCTACAGACTCCACTAGGGAGGAATAAACAAACTCTGAAGTGTGTCAAAGGGTTGTCTTTTCACATCTCCCACATAAGCAGTCAAACACACCAGCTTTAAGAAGTTATAACAGTACTATACGTGGCATACTTGAAAACCTGGTCAAAGTTTGTAAACTAAGGATAGTTCTTGAAGCAGAACTGAGTTCTGTAGCACGAATATGACACTAGTATAGCTAGTACCTTTGTAAGCATTTTGTTTCCAAAACAGAGTAGCACCACTGAAAACCACAGTTTTCTGTGGTCATTGTGAGAGCTTTCCCTGCCATGTGCAGGGCAGAAGAGGAGACTGAGGGGAGACCTCATGGCTATACCAACCTTGTTGGGGGCAGCACTGATCTCTGCTCTGCGTGAGCAGTGACAGGACCCAAAGGAAAGGCTGGGGCTGTGTCAGGAGAGGCTTAGGCTGGATATTGGGCAAAGGTTCTTCCCTCAGAGGGTGTCTGGGCACTGGAACAGCTCCCCAGGGCAGTGGTCATGGCCCCATGCCTGACAGAGCTCAAGGAGTGTTTGGCCAGTGGTCTCAGGCACAGGGTGGGTTGTTGGGGTGTTGTGTGTAGGGCAGGAGTTGGACTAGATGATCCAACAAATAGAATAGGGCAAGGAAGGTGGTGAAAGGCCTTGAGGGGTCATACAAGGAGTGGCTGAGGCACTTGGGCTGTTCAGCTGGAGGAGACAGAGGAGAGATCATTGGGGTCTGCAGCTTGGGGTCTGCAGCTTCTTTATGAGGGACAGCTCTCTGCTCTCCAGACAGTGACAGGACCTGAGGGAATGGCCTGAAGTTGTGTCAGGGGTGGTTTAGATTGGATATTAGGCAAAAGTTCTCCCCTCAGAGGGTGTTTGGGCACTGGAACAGCTCCCCAGGGCAGTGGTCACAGCCCCTGACAGAGCTCAAGGAGTGTTTGGCCAATGCTCTCAGGCACAAGGTGGATTGTGGGGTGTCCTGTGCAGAGCTAAGAGTTGGATGACCCTCATGGTTCCCTCCAACTCCGCACACCCTGTGATCCTGTGACTCTGTGCTGGCAGGAGCTGACAGAGAGAAGCTTCCACTCTCAT